ATTTGTTAATAAGCTTTCAAAACTCTAGTTCTACTACATTCAAATTCCTCATTTCCCTTCAACTTAGTGACCACCTTAACATCCCCATTCTATTTTTCCCTGCTCTTATGTTCTTGTCTCAAGCTTTAACTGATTATGTTCTTTGATTTCCTTACCCCGGTGTAGATTCCTTTTTAACTACAGATCCTAAAAGCGACACTAGCTGCTTTTTGTTCCTTGGATTCCCCACCTCCCCGCTTCAGCATAATTATATTCTGTTGTGCCTTTTATAATCATGTCTTTTAGGATCTCCTAACCTTCTACACTCCCGGCTTTATTTAATAGTGAGCTCCCTCCTCAACTCTCCACACTAAACCATGCTCATTAGGTTTCTTAATCCTCCATAATTTGCTTTCATGAAACCTTATATCTTTGAGTTGCTGTGCTCTATGAGCCCATTTCCTTAGTATAGCTATTCCAAGTGGCCCAGAATCAACAAGCACTAAACATAAGCTTATTCACTTTCTCAGCCAACATGACTCTATAGAAAAGAAATTCTTTGTTTTGAATGTTTATGGACCATGAATCTATACCATTTAACATGGTATTTCATTTTCTCACCCAAACATTGCCTGATAAGGTTGGGACTACAGAATTATGGTACAAGCTGTCCTTAACATTCAGTTATTAACTTATAAATAAGCTAGATTCTTCTCGGTCAGAAAGCTATTCTACTTTATTAGAACAGAAATAACAATATCCTGATGTTATGTTAGTGACCAGTAAATTCTACCTATATCCTTATACCCAGAATTCAGAAGAGAAAAACACCTTTTTTCAGTTATTCTGCAAGAGCTCTGCTTTTCCAAATGGGTCATTTTTGAAAGACATGCACGTTCTCGAAATTTGGCAACAGAGCCAACTCTTGGTCTTTTCACCCTCATCCTTCACTTTTTCTTCCATCCTACTCATTACTAGTTCATTACCCTTTGCCAATGAGTATGTACAGAGGGCCAAAAGAACATATATTTTGGATTTTCTTTTTAACTTCCCAGGGACTTTGGTTTTTGAAAGTATACATTAGCAGTGGATTGAAAGAGTTAATAAAATTTCCAAAGGTGCCTAGCTTATTTAAGCAAAGTTTACACTTCAATCCTGTGAATGTTAACTTGTGATCCTCCCCATCCAGATGATAGAAAGCAAAGCCAGTAAGTTCTTTTATTTAATTGGTTTGCATCCACACACTGACCTCCAGGGCTCTGTTTATATAGCCTATCATGCAATATGCTCCACAGTTCTCTGCCTCTTTCAAAAGCATGTTTCTCCTGAGATTTGATATATGACTTTCATGTTTAATCACTACATTAAACTCAATGCTCTGCTTCCTCCAGCATCAACTAACTTCCCTTCTTGGGAGGTGGGGAGAAGAGTATAGGTTCTTGCTACTTCTGAACATAAAAGGAAGTCTGTTTTACTCTTGGTAAAATCACAACTCCACACAATCCTAGGCAATCAACATTAGTACATCAACTGGGAAAAGGTAGAAAATGTAAACCTTAAAACTCCTTTAGAAAAGAAGGTAAGCTGACTGTTCTCAATTGGCAAAGCCAAAAACTTAAGGTGGCTGAGTTGTAAATCAACAGAAAAGGTTTTTAATCAGTATATTACTCAGTACATAGAGACCACAGCTAAATGGCAGCTGACATTTTAACTAAATTAATTTTGAGAATAGAAAATTTCTGGAGTTCTCAGGTCAAAATTAATTCAGGGCCTCTGCCTTCTGGTTGAAGGTTTTCCTACCCATGCAATTCACCATAAACAGAACTTTCAGAGTCTTCAACTGGATGTGAACATGAAAATGCCACAATCCTTTCCACAATAATTTGTATGTGACTCAAATTCCTAAAATAGATGAAAACCTGAAAACATTGACTCCTTTTGATAAGTCAAGACCATCTATAATTTCCAGATTTTAAAAATCACATGAAATGTATGTATTTTACTTCAAAATATTTTAAGCAAAAAAAAAAAGGTAAAACAAATTTGGCAAATAATTAACAAAGGTAACATTTAGATGATGGCTATATGGGTGCTAATCACACTATACTTTCTACTTTTATACATGGTTGAATTTTTTTCATTATACAAAATTTGTTAATTCAAAAAGCACAAGGAGGTTGTTTGAGGATTTGCTTTTGTAGAAAAAAAATAATGCAATTCTGACAAGAAAAAATTTAAATCAATTTCTAGGTTAATCATTTGGTATACATCTAACAAATGAAATTTTTTACCATGCACTGGCAATGAAAACTTTCCTTCCTTCCTCCTGAATATCACTCCACAGCTTAAAACTTATTTATACAAACTAAAAATGTTGTACAGTAAGCTCTGCATAAGTTGGGCATTTTCCTTGATATACTTGTGAGTGTGTGTGTGTGTGTGTGTGTGTTTACATATAATTTGACTTTGAAATTCTTTCCATTATGGCTAGTCACTGACCATAGTATTTATTTTTTATGTTTTTCTTTTTCAGAAAGATTGGCATATTCCTTCATTTAAAAATGTTACTTTGTCACAGCTGTATACAACATTAAACAGGCCTAGTTTACTTTCTGTATTTGATGAACAATAGAGAATTTGAACCTATTAAAGTCATACATTTAATTGTTCCAATATGCTACCTTCTTTTTTTTTTTTTTTTTTTTTTTTTTTTTTGAGGTGGAGTCTTGCTCTGTCAGCGCCATCTCTGCTCACTGCAACCTCCACCTCCTGGGTTCAAGCAATTCTCCTGCCTCAGCCTCTGAGTAGCTGGGAGTACAGGCACGTGCCACCACACCAGGCTAATTTTGTTGTTGTTGTTGTTTCGTATTTTTAGTAGAGACGGGGTTTCACTGTGTTAGCCAGGGATGGTCTCCATCTCCTGACCTCGTGATCCACCTGCCTCAGCCTCCCAAAGTGTTGGGATTACAGATGTGAGCCACCGAGGAGGACCCTATGCTACCTTACTTATAACCAAAATTTGCATGATATAGGATACCAAAGAATATTATTTCTAGCTTCCTTTGTCGTGATTCTTTCATTCAGTCATAAGCTAAAAGGAGCTTATTAAAAAAAAAATAATTCTGTTTCTTAATTTGAAAACATCTGAATTCTTTCCACAACCTATTTAAGTTTAAAATTAAAAGAATAAATAAACTTTTAATCAGTACTCCCCTATAAGACTTTTCAGCATACAGAACTTTGTAGTTTTCAAAGACAGACAGATGTTGTCCATGATAGACTTTTTTTTTAAATAAGAACTTGAAAAAAAAAAATAAACAAATCCTGCACAAAATCTTTGCTCACAAGAATGAAAGATGTATGCCTATACAGATGTTATAACTATTTTCATGATAAATACTTACCTTCAGTACAGGAATTTAGCAGCACACTTTAATTTGGATTTGAAAAGTTAACATAAATTATCTTACTTTGACAATAGCTGCCTAATATTTCAGTCTTGTACACTACTTCCAGGTTCTACCTTCAAAATGAACTGAGTAGACTTACTCATTTTTAAAAGCTATATTCCAGACCCTGTACCCTAAAACCACTTTCTCACTGGATGTTTAGGGAATTACATTAGATCATAAAAAAGTGCGTTCTTAATAAATATTTGGTGACTGGCAGAGAAAAAAAAAAGACATGTAATTTTTATGTAAAAATGTACTTTCCATCAACTTTATTCATTTATTTTTAATTATACTTAAATATTTTAACTGTTAAAAAATGAAAAAGATTTTTGGCCTTATCTTGAGTCCTTTGTGAATCAGTGAGTTAAATAGTTGATACAATGCCATCCTACCATTAGTTTCTACATAGTCAATGTTTTCAACCAAAAATGTTTATTTTATACTATCATTCATATATCTGATTAAGAAGCTGCAGAAGACACAGAATAGAAAGATTTCTGGAGTCATGGTTCTCAAACTAGATGAATTTGTTAACTCAAATGTACAGGCTTCATAATTAATGAGTCTCACCAAATTCACAAAACCATACAAGAAAAGAAAGACAAAGTTTATAAAGAAGAAAAAGTGTGTTGTCTCTTTAACACCACTATCAAAAAGAATATATAACAATTGTTCCTTTGTGAACATAATAAGTAAAAACATTTTTAAAATTACAATACAGTGAAACTTGAACCAGAGTAAAAATGTTACTTTTAAATTAAACAAGTTACATATTTTTCTGTAAATTATTTTCTCCTGGAATTCAAAAACTAATGTTTATTTATCTGTTAACAGTCTACCAAAGGAATACATAATTCCTTTGTATGAAACATGAGGCAATTTTTGTCCTTTAATTGTAAATGCCATCAGAAACTTTGAAGCACATAAATCTCAACAAGTGACATAATAACATAGTCAAACCTGAGAATTATATGGCTACATTCATGCTTAATGAAAAGAAAATGTCTAATGAAGCTGATATGCCGCTGCTTGTGAGAATATAAATTTTGTCCTAATAGATTCAAAATAATGGCTTAATGTAACCTTCATTTTCTATAGCCCATCTAGCAATAAAACATTTTTTTAGAAAAAACAAGCTAATAAATCATAGACAAATTTCTATTTCTATTGGCTGTAACTCTCTAGTTTGCTGAATTAAATGCAACCATCTCCCACATTTGGTGATAACCTAAAGAGAATTTTCAAATTACTCAGGATGCTTTGTCCACTGAGAAAATAATAATCTATTTTGAGCAATAAGAATGAACAACCCCCACCTCTGCTTTTGAAATGAAACTCTGCAGATATAGGGCATGTAATGCTTATTGCAGAACTATGAAGACTCCAAAGTGAACATCTCAAATTATGATTTGAAGCAGTCAATAGCCCTGCTTTGAGGTGGGAATCACATTTTGAAAAGAGAGTGCCCAGTCTGTTTCAAATAAAAATGATTCTTGATCTAATGAATTACTCCTCAGATAATAATGTAAATAAAATATATTTAGAATAGCATTATTAATGTAAACATACCTGAGCCGGAGTCAAATTTGGTTTCTGATCTGCAAAGAGAAAGAAAATTTTTATAATATAAAAACTCTTCGTAAAAAAAACAGTTATTTCATGGGGGGAAGGGAGGGGAGGTAATAGTTACATTTTTCAGTGTATATTTCTAAAATGTAAATATATATGTATCGTAACCATTTTAAATGCAGGCATTACCCTAGACCCTCTAAATATGCAAATATCAATACAGATGGCACAATATAGAAAAGATATTAGCTTTTTAAATTGGTTTTTGAGTGAAACAGGGTAAACTATGTTTTTTAAAAGGCATCTGATTTTTACAGATTAACTTGTTTCAGTACTATAATAAAGCAATAAAAAACCAAATTCATAATTATCCTCTTTATTATTCAAGATTTGAAATTATTCAACACCAAGTAACTTTTCACTAAGTTCTTAGCACACAGCAAATGAACCTAGTAACCCCATACATTTAATACGAAGGAGAAAAAAATCTGAGCTCTTGTGGGAACATTATGTTTCAGATATTGGTTAATACTAGTTGTAAATTCAGAAGCCTTTGAAGCTCTCAGTTTGGCTGTGGGAAAACTTCTGCTAGGTAATTACTCTCAAGATGCTGCTGATGTGCTGTCAAGCAGAATTAACCCTATGACTAGGCCTATCTACACAAGCTACTATAAAACAGCATTGTCTATATCTAGCTCTCAAACCAATTAGTGGGCATGCTGCAGTCGGATTTATATCACACATCAACAATCAATAGTATATATGTTCACAGCTGCCACAGCAAGATACAAGAACCAACCAGCAGGAGTTCTGTTAAAGGATGTTACATTGACAGAGAAGACTCTTTTTTTCCTAAAGAAATGTAGTTAACTAAGTGGGAAAGGAGATTTCTTTGAAATTATGCCAGGGTACCAAAGCACTTTTGGAAGCGGTGGCTTTCTGTACCTAAATTAGCCTCAAGAAAAGTCATCAAAGGGGGAAAGGGAAGGATAAGCAAGAGGAAGCTTCCTTGGTCATAAACATTCATTTTCTGAAGTCCTCCCAAATAAAATTTCAGCTGATGCTTATAATTGTGATTGTGTGTATGTGTGTGTGGATATATGTGTGTGGATATATATGTAAAATTTATATACATATGTGTGTAATATGTAATACACACATTGTGCCCTCTCTCCAATTCTGCAAAGCCCATTTTCACATTTTGCTCTCTCTCCAATTCTGCAAAGCCTGGTCTCATGCCCTCCTCTGTGTTTCCACCATCTCTTAGTACAACTCTAACAACACTTGCCACATGTTATCTTGCTGATTTCCTTGTCTATCGCCCCCACTAAACTATAGCCATACCTTATTAACCTCTGTAGCCACAACCCCTAAATTGTGCCCACAGTTTGTGTCCAAATGTCTGTTAAGATAATTTTTTGCATCTATGCATGCCCTTTCTCCTTCACAACTGTACAGAAGCCAACAGTGTTCTTTCTTCTGCTTAAGTTTCCTTCCTCCTGGGTCCTAAAATGCATCTCTCCCTTGAAACCAGTCTGTATCAATTACTCCTTTTCTTTGCCATATCTTCAATATCTAGTTCTCCACAGGTTCCTCTTCCCTTCATCACATAAGTGTTCCAGAATTGTTTTTAAAGCCCTCCTTCAAATCTGTGCCTTGCTTTGTTATCCCTCTTTCTTCTGGCTTTACAATCAAATTTGCTGGAAGGATATAGACTATATCCTATATCATCTATCTCCCTTTCCTAATCTCCCAACATACTCACTCCTTGAACCACTACAATCTGCCTTTGCTAAAGTTTATCAGAAGCTTCCCACGTTAAATGCAAGAGCCCTGTCACCGTCCTTACTTTACTAAACTTCTCTCTTTCATCAGACATCTACCCCCTTCTTTCCAGTGTCTGTCTGTCACTTCCCTTCCTCCTCCTGTGAGCACCAGAGTTCAGCCCTCAGGCCACCTGAAACACTGTTCCCACTCTCTAGGGTACAGATGTGGCTCAAAATCACCGCAGGAGTTTGCTTACCTGCAAGCTCCCAGGACTTCTGGTGATTCTGATTTAGTAGATGGGGCCTAGAAATTTGCATCTTAACAAGCCATCCAAATGAAAACATTTCTTTGACCATATCTTGACTCATATATCCAAGTAACAAACAAAATATTACCTGAATGTCACACTGTGACCTTAAATGCCACACATCAGAAATCATGGCATTGTTCTAGGTTTCTTCTGCACCCCCAATATCTAATTAGTCATCAACACCTGCAGGTTCTACATCCCTCCCCTCCTCTCTATCCTCACTTTCATCATCTTTAGGCCTCATAACCAGTGTTCTCCCTCCCTTCAGATCGACCAATGGTGGGCAAGAAGCTTTTGCTCTAGCCTTCCTCTTCCTGTGCTCTTTTCCACCAGCCAAGGAGTTCCTGTTTCCACCCGAAGCTCTGACTACCAAGGTCGCCATCATTCTCTCCCAAATGGCCTTAAGCGGCTTCTTTGACCTACATGGGCCCCTTCTTCAGATCAGGTGGTACTACTAGCATGTGTGTACCTCCAGTCCAAGGAGTGGCCAAAGATCGTCCACTAATGACGGGGCCTGGACCTGAGGGCTAGAGGGACCCCTTGGCCCTGGAGGAATGGATAAAGGTGTGGCAGAGAAGGTAGAAGCCAGCTGTCTCACTACTCCTTCACATTCCTGCTCTTGATGCAAAGCCTCCTGTGAGGGTGGGTGGCTGAGAGCACCTGGGGGCCAGAGCTTGTCCTTGGACTGGATTGGCATGGACTAGATCACTTTGGAACTCAATGTCTGACTGTTGAGTGTAAAGAAGGAGCAACGAGTAGGGGCACAGAGCCTCTGGCAGAAATGAAAGAGCCCCTCCCCAAAAAAAGACCAAGAGAAAGAAAGTATTTATCTACGGATTTCATGGCCATTGGAAGAGAAGGCTGAGTGAGCCTTTTCCTCCTCTCCTCCACCTTGGCCCAGTTACCACTGCCCTGGCATTTCCTAAGAGTAAATTCATAGTCTTTTGGTGGAAGACAAAATTGATTTTAAATTTGTACTACTCTCAGTTATTTGGTATCATTTTTCATTATAAGGTATATTTGTCAATGTAGGTTAGTATATCCTTTTCTAACAGTTTTTTGCCTTGAGTTTTAAATATTTAGCTATACTATATGTATCTATGCTACCATTTGTCCTCTTGCCCAGGCCCTGAAAATGTTAGGCCCAGGCCTAGTAACAAGTCACCATGTAAAAACATTGGCATTACAGTGGGTCATGGACAAAAAGGTTTGAAAGCCACTGACCTGGGGACATTAAGTCCCCACTCCTCTGCATGGTGTAGAAAGGGTCCTCCATGATCCAGCTCTCCAGTTGCATCTCTAACTCACACTTTGTATCCATCACTCCCATCAAATGGAATTATTTCCATATTATTTCTCAACGATCAATACTCACGTGAATCATGTTGGCATCCCGCCTGCCCTCATCATCTCACAAGCTCCTTGCTTCCCCCTCGGTTGCCCCACCGTGTGGGCCGGGCACAGCACTCCCCACACAGTGTGGCACTGACGCTAAGTTGAGTGAGGTGCAGACTAGGTCTCAGGCATATTCATGTTCCCAACACTGAATGCAGCACCTGACACCTGGAATGTGAATGTGGTTCCAGTAGCTGAAGCAGCCATTCTTAGCTCATGAGGGCAAAACTGAGTTATTCAAAGCGTGTAGTAGAAATTAACACTAGAACAAATGAATCTATAAATTAATAGAAGGCCAAAAACAGATAAATGGCCAAAATGTCTGTAGAATAGCTAGTTCTGAGATTAAAAAAAAAAAAAAATGACAGAACACTTTTATTCCTCAGATTACCTTATCTTCTCCAGGGATAGGTGGTCAATACATAAAATACACAAATAAAGTACAGAGAAAACATCTTCACAAACCAACTAGTGGCCTTAGTTATCAATTTTAAAAAAATTTTCAGAATTCTCAGACACAGTACTGAACATTCAGAAAAATACAGCTACTCTATTGATAATTAAAACATGATAACAGAAGTTAAAACTGTCAGTTTGGCAATAGGGAAAATTGGTCCTTTGCTGTTATAAGTCAATTCAGAGTCCTATAAGATTTTAAAAACAGTCTTAAACACAGAGATCCAAAGTACTCCTCTATCATACTATGAACTATGATCATATCTACTCTTAAATCCCCTTTGAGAAGGGAAGTGAAATATGAATAGGGACGAATATATGGTAAGTGAAGAAAAAGAATACATACCTAATAAAGATCGTACAAGAAAGAAAAAGAAGGATGGTTATTCATTCCAAATATATTGTTATGTGTTTTAGTAGTATACTATGCTAGATGGTAGGAATACAAAATTGCATAAAATAGGGTATAATATGCATAAATATAATTGTGTCTCCACAGACACCCATTTTACCCCAGATTATATACTCACACCTAAGTTTAAAACTGCTCAACCACTTCTTATGGTAACTGCCAAAAGATGGTGATTATAACACAGAACGTTACTGCCTTCCAATATTCATCCTCCCATTTTTAATTTTAGCAATAGAATCTCTGGGTTTTAAGTGGGCACACAGACAATATTTCCACACTATTTCCCAACTGTCTTGTTGCTAGTTGTACGCATGTAACTAAGTTCTTGCCAAAGGGATGCAGGCAGAAGTGAGATGATAACATCTGAGTTATTCCCTTATAGGGAAGGACTGTACCCTTCCCTTCTTCCTGTTCCTTACCACTGACTGGAATGTGAATGTGGTTCCAGTAGCTGAAGCAGCCATTCTTAGATCATGAGGAGAAAACTGATATTAGAACAGTAAAGCAATAAGACAGAAGGTGCCTATGGGACTGCCACATGAGTCTCCAACTGTTATTTTCTTTTTTGTGTTTGTTTTTAAGACGGACTCTCACTCTGTTGCCCAGGAGTGTGATACCAGTTCACTGCAACCTCCACCTCCCCAGTTTAAGCAATTCTCCCACCTCAGCCATCCAAGCAGCTGGGATTA